CAACCTAACCCCCCCCTTGAACAACTTGAGGCCATTTCCTCTTGTCCTATCACTTGCCACATGGGATAACAAACCAATCCCCACCTTGCCACAACCTCCTTTCAAGGGGTCAATGAGAGCAAGGTTTCCCCTGGGACTCCTTTTCCCAAGGCTAAATAAACACAGGCTCTTCAGTCACTCCTCATAAGACTTGGTCCCTAGACTTGTTACCAGCTTTGCTGCTCTGCTCGGGATGTTCTCCAGCACCTCAGTGTCCTTCTTGTCCTTCTCACCAGTGCCAAATACAGAGGGACAATCACCTCCCTACTCCTGCTGGCCATACTATTTCTGATACAAGCCAGGATTCTGATGGCGCTCTTGGCCACCTGGGCACACTGCTGGGTCACATTCAGTCAGCTGTCAACCAGCACCTCCAGGTTTTCCACTGGGCAACTTTCCAGCCACTCTTGCCCAAGCCTGTAGTGTTGCCTGGTGGTGTTGTGACCCAAGTGCAGGACCAGGCACTTGGCCTCGTTGAGAAGCTAGCCCCCTCTCACAGAGCCTAAAACATAAAAAATAATTTTAAAATTAAAATATTTGAAAATACAGTGTGTACTGGCAAGGACAAAAATGCAAAGATCCCAATTCTGCAAAGAATTAGACATATGCATAATTTTATACACTTGAGTATTCCCAGTGGGCGTCAGTCTTCTGCACTGGGGTGGATGCGTTTACAAACAATGGAGATTCCAAAAAATACAGTACAGTTCTTCTTAGGAACTTTAATTATATAAACTCAGGAGGGGAAAAAAATTGCCTTTAAAATCTATTTTGAAAGCTTTTCAAGGTCTACCAAGGCTGCTAGCTTTACTCACAAGCTGTACTTGTCACTTTGGTGACGTTTCCTTCACTCACAGTAACGTTTTAACAATCCATGATGCTTTCCAAGCTTCTGGGACTCCACTGTATCTGCTCTGCTCAGGGCACAATTATCTCATTTGCTCCACTGGAATCTAGGATGGGTGTGACCATGCAGCAAATCCAGCTAATTTTGCAGTCATGCTCCAGTTAATTTTTAATGATTTGTACAGTTTAGTTTAAGAACATAAGTACGAGCAATGCTGTAAAAGTGGGGAAAACATTCAGCTCAGCAATCAACGAAGCAGGATGCTACCAATCTTCCTGAAAAATGGCTGTTTGAAGATGGGGAATGTGAATGGTAAGGGGAGACAATAGCTGAAACAGTTCAAAGGGGTTTAAAGAGAAACAAAACATTTAAAAATCGAGACAGATACACGTTATGGTCCTGCAAAGACCAGTCTGAGAGATGCCTGCATCTTCCAGCTTCAGTCATGTAATTTAGCAGCTGGAATTAGGAATCCTCATTCCTTGTGCAAAGAACGACCCCTTGGTGGACAATTCATCGAAACAACACAGCCACTCCAAAACGGCTGTAAAGGGACTCCAGAGGCTTTCTACCTCCTCTTCTTCCTTACTGCTGGATTCTTGCTCAAATGAGCAGACTGGGAGGACATTCTGTGACTGTGAAGGGGCGGAGGCAGAGGATCATGTACCCAGCAACTCCTGGCCAGTGTAATGGTTTCCAGGAGACCAAACATGAGGTAGGTTAAAGTGAATGTAGGGACTGAGTGAAACCACAGATGGGCTGGTTTAATCCCTGCTGTCATGGAATCATGAGGAGATAGAAAGGTGCCGTCCGTATCTGGTTGAGAGACGTTGACCAATGACTTTCTAAAAAGCAGATGACATTCTACACTTCCCCTCGGAAAACAGCTCAATTACCGTTTTGCTTGGTAGTTTTCTTGGGGGTATATAGCAAAGACTGAACTGCTTTAAACAAATGCAGCATTTATCGGATACATAAAAGAAGTTTTTAAAAAACGTATTATACCATGACTTCACTGCAAGTATAAATTTTAGTAGTACATTATAAAGATATTTTAGAGCCTTACACAGTGGCTTACAAATTCATTTTCGTTTTCTGTATAAATAGTTTACTATTTCAAAATGCAAGAGATGTGTGGGTTTATTGTTTTTTAATTCACTAACTTATTTGGCTTATTTTCACTAGCTAAATGCTATTTACTCTTTTTATTTTTTATAGCAAATAGTAATGCTAGGCACGAAGAGTGATGGAAAAGTTCTTCCTGCTCATGTGCCTTACTGTAATGATGCTCTCCTAAAGCATTAGGTCAGCTCTGCTAAGACACAAGGCTAAAAATAATACTTCATAGAATAATACAGGTTCAGCTAACTTGAGAATGAACAGTTGCCACTAGATGGCAAGATAGCCTTACATTACTTTGGTGGGTTGGGTTTGGTCTGGCATTATTTTTTTCCCTTTATATAAGAGGAATATGTAACATTTGTATTTCAAACATGGTGTCGACACATTTTCCCCATGCCATTCAAGTGTACCTGATGATCACAAATTGGTGAATGAAGCAAACTATTTGACCGTTGCTTTAGTATTTACATGCACTATGGAAATAAGGTTTAGTGGTAAGCTCAAGTAAAACAAATTTTAATAAATTTGCTAAAATAAAAGTAATGCATTTAAAAGAATGAGCATTTTACTGATATGTGGAAATGCACAGCCAGGAGTATAATTTAACTTCAAAAACCACACTACCTAATTAAACAAATGAACTGCTAATTATCAAGCAACCTGCTTCCTCTAAATCTCAGCTGGCAGTTGATGAGTTAACTTTTCAACAGTGTCTCTCAGTGAGTTAAGTACAAATCCAATGTTGTTATCTGCCTGAGTGTCTTTAAAAAACAGATTCTTTATACCGATGCAGACAAGGCAAACTTATAAAGACATGAATATAACTGGAGTTTAATTAAATATGCATTTAAATATTTCTCAAATTGCAGTGCAAAGTTAAACAACCAGGGTTAGATATTCAGTAGTGCTAGTTGTCACTAACTTTGAAAAACATGATGAATTCCACTGGATTAAAATTTAGAACTTCTGAGCAATCTGATCTAGCTGAACATGTCCTTGCTCATTGCAGAGGGGCTGGACCATATGACCTTTAAAAGTCCTTTTCTACCCAAACAATTCTATGATTCTAACTCTGCACTTATTTGTGTTAAAACTGGAAAAATAATTAAAAGGAAAAAAAAAAATCTGTGAAATCAATACTTTTCATTCTCTTTAAAAAATCACACTACTTAAATGAATACAGGCTCCCAAACTTCCCCCTGGCCCCTGTTTATTTGCTTAGTAAAGCTGATACCATCCAGAAAGACCAAACAAATAGTCTGCAAACATACAAACGTAACTTATCTCGAATTTTGTAGCTGCTCTAAAGACCAGTGAAAAGATGGATAGAAATGGGCTAGTGCTACACTGTAGCAGAGCAGCAGTTTGCACATGAACAGAACCATAATGCTTCACATGGCACACTGGAACAAAACACATGTGGAACAAAAGTGTATCCAGGCTTCAAAACTTCCATGATGATATTTCCATATGTTTATGTTGGTATTTTCTAAATGGATGCTGTCCCATGACGTGCAGGTACAAAACTTGATTATTTTCCTATCTCACTGTCCTCAAGAAGAAGGGAGTGAGGCTAGTACTGAACAGTTTGAAGACCTTGCTCTGCTTGAATACAGGAGGAATTCCACAAGTAACACTCCCGTACTGCACAGAACCAACCCTGGTGAAAAATGCTGGTTGTCCTCAGGCCAGAAACTGGAAATAAGATTGGAAGTGAAGAATCTGAGTCTTCAAATTCTATGACTTAATCCTCTTTGATCATAATTGGATGAATTCAACTCACTGTAAACGAGTTTATTAGAACCTTGTGTAAAGCTTTGGCTGCTGACTTTAAATGCATCCTCTAATGTCTAGACCTGAAGGTAAGTAATTATTATAGTCTTATTCAGTCCTTCAGTTGCCCTGCTATTTCAGTATCAGGTAGGACTCCAAAACCAGCAATGAAGACTAGGTCACGTTGATCTCTGTGGATACCCAAATGAAAAAACTAACAACAGAGTAACCGATGCTAAAAAATGTCACAGAAAATGCCCCAAATTATATTAATGTTATTAGCATAGTAGCTAAGTGCCTTCCTCACACCTTGGTTCCATGCACAGGATGTGGTCTCGAGAGGAAAACTGACAAACTGACGACGTATTTAAAGATGCTAGATGAGCCATCCTACCCTTACACAGCCCAATCATAGTTTTACAACTTCTGTTGCCCAAGTAATGAATAATCTTTTAAAAGAAGCATCACTTATGACATTCCCTTTTAGGAGGTGGGCAAAAGAGAACGGAAACAAATTGTCTTGGGTTAGCCAGCAAAAACATGGTTAACTTAGGGATGAATTCAACTTTGTTTTTTAGCATCTAAGCTCACATTCTGATTCCCAACAATTTTCTTCTCTGAGGCCCTATGTTTAAAAAAGCAACTTACCAGAAGCACTGAGCTGCCAGACATCACCCTCAATGAACTGCACCTCACCTGTTACTGGGACTAAATCAACTCTAAAACTTGTTTGGGTTCTCCTACCTGGAGTTTTATATTTTCTCGTGAAGAACTATTGTCTTCACTCCTCCTGTAGTCCCACATATTCAGTTTTGCTGCTAAGGAACCAAAAGCAGATCCCACTATTGTGTAACCCCAGTTTATTTCCAGAGTATCACCTATTCTATGTACTGAAAGAAGGCTAGAACAAAAAAAATACATAGCCATGAAATTTAAAGTTACATTAAAAAACATTTACACTAGTAGATTAAATTGAGACACATCATAACTCCACATGAACCTGTTTTCTTGACTTTTGAAATTTCATTTTTGACACTGTAAACAATTCTCTTTGTTTTAAAAAAGTAATTTAGTTGATGGCAATAGTTGTGCACAACTCTACCACCTTCCTTTAACTGTATCACTGTAAGATGTTGCATTTGGATTGTCAGCACTGTAGTGATCATCATCCACCACCTGGAATGAAGTATATAAATACAAGTACAGAGAGATACAAGACAATTTCAGCTGCTGGCTTCAGAACTCCACCTCTGTGGATCAGGCATAAAATGTCAGAGACTGCTATTTAACTTCAGTGCTAGTGGCCTACATACACAAGAAAACCTCATTTTGCAAAGAGTGGACTTTTACCAGACACTGTCTGTGAAACCATACGTGTCCCAGATTTATCTACCTCCATGTGCTGTGCTAGTGTACTGTATTATTTTCTTTTATTAAGAAAATACAATGATTTTATTTTCTTTTATGAAAAATAAATGTCACAGCAGTAACAGTCAGCAGCACTGACACAACTGGAACCCAGGTAATGATTCCTGCTTCCCAGCACAGTCCCCATCTAGGTTGCCACCTTTCCCTGACCTATCTGATAAGAAGCAATTGCAGCAGCAAGAGGCATCCATTTCACTTACGTCCCAGTTAAGTGGTTACTGCTGCATGCTGAAATAGTTGCAGTGCAAAACCAGGAACCAGTACTGATGAGAAGCAAAATGACTTTAAATCGCCTGGCAATTCTGAATTAGCCAAGCAGAGCTGGAAGGTAGTGCCTGTCAACAGACTTAGCTCAGGCCAAACATTTCATGAAAGCAACAAAAGGCATCCTTACCATCCAGGATGACACTCTAGATAAATGTTAGGCTGCTAAAAGTTGAAAAGTTAAAACGTTTTTGTAATGCAAATTTTTAGTGAACTAAATATAGAGATAAGCACCATTCTCCCATTGTTTTTATAAAAATCTCCTGACTTTCAAAACCCAAAACTGTTCACTTTCATAAACTAGGAGTGAGTTGCTGGTCTAAAGTCCCAGCTCTTAGTGAAAGAAGACCAGCACTTCATAGAAAGGTTGAAGTTTGTCACTATTCAGAAGATAGATGAACACGTTTTCTGTGTTTTGGTCTATTCTTGTGATTAGTTTGGATCAGAGGCATTGCAGAAGGGTATACAGCAACTGATTGTCTAGTTAAAGGTCTACTAGAAAGAAAGCACCTATGAAGGAAGTAGGAAGCTTTTATCATGAGGTTTTCTTTCCTGCTTGTCACTTCACCTGCTTTTTGTGGCAGCAGATGATGCTCCTCAATTTTCAAGGTTCACGTACACGGCTGTGTCTGCCAGTGTATTTTTTTGTCCTCGGATAAATTGACATCGGTAAGATTCAGCTCTGTCTGAAGGTATTATAGCCAGATATTAACTGCTTCTTGACAATACTCACTCCAACAGCACAACAGACTGTCATGGACTGTCTGTACATATTTGCTTTACACACACCTTGCCGTTTCATCACTCTGTTATGTAACTGACTGGATTTTGGCTCTGCTGCCCTTGCAGGGATTGCTCCCAATCCTATCACTGTATCTGCTACTGAACTTGCTGCTGGATTTGCTAACTGGTATGTTATTTCTTTATGTATATTCTTAAGCAGATGACTACAGCAAAAACTAATAATCTCTTGAAAAAAGTCTGTTCTGTTGAGAAGGCCATTCAGCTGAGGAAAGCAGATCTCTATCAGGTAGAACTGTAAGGGTAGGCTCATGAGCATAGCACACTGCAGAGACCTGATGGCACAGACTCAGCAGTTTCAGCTACAGGTGAAGGGTGATGTCTGGAGAAGTCCAGACCAGACTGTGCAGACCAGCTCTTGGACTTGCAGAAGGCTCATTGACCGTAATGTTGAGTTAATGATAGCTCTGATTGATGTCACAAATTATGTTACATTGAAAATAGATTTTCTTCTGTTTATTTTCAGTCCCAGGCCTTGCAAAAAGAGCACACTGTTGGTGGGGCTTCAAGTAGGACTGAAGTAAGATGCTGACAGACAAGGAAAGTTTACCCAGACTCAAACTTTCTACCACCTTGTCTTTCTTACATCTTTAAAGCTCTAGAGTGGCTAGAAGTCTTTTCATGCTTCTAAAACAAAACTCCCACACCTTCCTCCTGCAAAACCTTTTAAATAGTTACTCTCTCCTTTATACTTCAAAGACTTGCCCTACTTGTGCCCCATCCCCCTCTTAATTGTCCTCAAAGACAATAGAAGAAAAAACTTAATTCCTTTGACATTGTCACTGGAGTGGGCGGCTAAAATGAGAAGAAGTGAAATATTTATACAACATAAAAATTAATGTAAAATTGTGTTTAAGAAAAGCTACCTAACCAGCTGTTCAAAACATTAAAAGTAAAAATGAAATGATTGTTAAATAAATTGCTAAATAAAATAATGAGCTTTGCCAGCTCCTGAGGATTTTGTGACTGGCAACAGATATTTTCTACTTCACTTACACATATCTTTTCATTCATGTATTAAAAATCATGCCTCAGTTTTTGAATTTATGAAGTAAATAACATGCTCATGCCAGGGTCAGGGTTTCTTTATACAAACACAACTGCATGTAGCAGTTTTTCCCTCTGATACAGTGGGAAAAGGAAAAGCATACAAGTAATGTTATGACTTCCATACAGTATAAATAAAGACTGCTGATATCCCCCCATTTTTGCACAACCACCACTTTGATAAAAAAATAAATGACATTTCTTTTTTTTTTCAGATTAAATATGCTTCTTTTGCCTTTGTATCTAAAGGAAGAAGGAAAGATACTGGTCTCAACCTGGATTCCAGCACTTGGTTTTTACAAAACATCCTATCACAAAGCACTCCCCAGATCACAGTCCTGGAAATCTGATTTTCTCTGTCACATCATAAGATCAACTATATGAAGTGGGAATCTCTGTTCTTCCTAAATTGCTGTTTCAATGCTAGAGATGCTGCTACTTTTTGCTCCTGCTGCACAGCCACTGTTTGCCAGCGTAGAGAAAGACAACCGAGCTTTGGTTCATAGATGCAAGCTCGCTCACAGAAGCAGCCCAGCCTTGGATTACTTACAACTGTTGGCCTTGCACTAGAAGCTGCCAGTTTTTTCCATCTTAGTACTCTGTACTGTCCATGCACAAAGTGCTAACTGGGTATTTAGTTTCACTTATGACAAAAATTAATAGAAGCAACACACAGCCTAAATCCTTGCCTGTTTTTTTTTAGGCATTACAGCTGAGATCTTCAATGTGCAAGGAGATACTCAGTGGGATATTCTTAACTGCCTAGGTCTAATTCTCACTGAAACCTGAACATCTTAAAAATCTGGCTGGCACCTCTACCACAGAGCTAAACACAACCAACAAGATTCTTACTTCAAAATTCTATTTGATGCATGTGTATTATCATAAGAAATTATTTTAAAATCATATTCAAGCATTTTCAATCTCCATTCATAAACTGGCATAATTTCTTATCCTTCAAATTTGGAAATGAGTTGTGCCATACTATTTCAGAAATTAAATACTTGTCAGTCAGAGAGATCCCTTCCTTTACCTCTATACACTTCTCTTATAAAATAAACTCTCGGGTATTGAACCATATAGTAAAACATAGTTTAGAACAGGACCTTTTCTATAGACTTGTAAACAGCATTATTGAGTATTTTCTATCCTAAAATTCCTGTAATTGTAATTTTTCTGAATACCTGAAAAAAACCCGGTGGTACAGGACCTACTGGCATGCCATCTCCTGGGGGAATGTTTCCTAGCACTGGACTGGGAGCTGCTGCAGCACTCTGAAAAGAACAAAGGGAGAATAAACCTTTGTCATTGCATAGTAGGCATTAAACCCCCCTCAAAAAAAAATTAAAATAAAATAAAAACAAAAAACAACCGACCAAAAAAAAACCCCAAAACCTGACCAAAATGCAAAGTAATTTTCTGGCTATGTCATAATGTCATTGTTTCACCTGAAGGTAAATTAAAATTGTATAGTGCTTAGTCTTTGTTTATACAAGTACAACGATTTGTCAAAGTAACAAATCTATGTTGAGAGGAAGCATGCTAGAGATTGCATGGATATACAAATACTTGTCATTTAGACAATTCTTGACTAGATTTTTAAAAATATTGCATCTGTGTGTCTATATATACACAACTAGGAATGTAACACACACTTTTTTCTTGTGTTATGTGTATAAACATGCTCACATATGCATAAGGTTATACATATAGCATTTTTTAAAAAAGACGCATTTCATCAGCAGTTTTTAAGGACTTTAAAGCTAAGGTTAGCAGAGTGTAATATTCTTCCACAACCAGATCAAGCTTCAAACCAGGATTCTGTTACAAACAGTACAAGAAGGAATGCTCACCATTCTGGTAGTAATACTTATGATTTTACCAACCCCACAAATAACCACCATGATGAATTAGAAGAATTCAGGTTATGTTTTTGGAAGGAAAAGAAAAAGGGGATTTCTAAGAAGTGAATCAGAGTATGAAATTAGTTACTTCTGTAAATCCTTCAGTTGGAATAAGCAAGTAAAGAATATTGCTTCTGGCAATTTATAAGCAGGAGATCATCACAAAAAGGGAAGCCAAACTGTTATTGTTGTCATGCACTGGAGCCTCAAATACTTTTAATTTCTAGCAGTCTTTCTTCCTTCCTGCAGTATGTTTCTGTAGGGCATAAGGCTGAATCACCTACAAAGGCTTACAGTCTTCTATGAAAGCACCCATGCAACACACAATGCATTGAGAGCCACTTGCAGCTTACTAATCACCTGGCAGTATCTGCCCTACAGAATATGAATGAATGGCTTATGTTTATTAACTTATCACTCTATTGTATGCTCACACTACACATCCAAAAGACGCAGATCTGGAAACTGTATTTCCAGGTGTTTGGCACACTATCTAGGAAATTAAAGAATAATGCTGGAAAGATATTGAAAACTGGCACAAAGAAGGCTGACCTTTTTAAACCAAGCAGAAAGGAAATATTCAGCTAATTACCACGGATTTTTCAATGGCTTAAGCTGTGCTTTAGAATCAAATTTCTGGATAACTAAGAGTGGCGTATTTAGCATCGAAGCTGTATGTTCTTTCCAAACAAAAGTCTAGAACATATCATTAAAATACAAAGGCTGCAGAAAGTGCTGGATTCAGAACTAAGCGCAAGACTTTGATTTACTAGAAAAGCCTGTAATAAAGGGTCTTATTTATGCAATGATCTGGTTTGCAGGATCAGTGTTAAAATACTACATAATCTCAATCTACACAAAGAGACAGGCAGGTGAGTTGGACGTAGCAAACACTTCTGAATCATAATACCTTCTTAAAAGAGGCTACCACAAAACAACCAAAACAGCCTACAAAGCTGCAGCAAATAAAGATGGTTCCCTGGTAGACACTGCCATTCTTTGGACACTGCCTGAAGTTCTTGAGACTGGGGAATGATGCTGCTTAGACGCAGGCAAATCCTGTGATTCCCCTGGAAGGTACATCTCTCAGGCCTCTTGCAGCCTCTTGGCCTCCAAGACAGAGGAGGAAATAAGCAGCTGGTGTTAATGCACAGAAATAACTCTTGAGGAACAAAATAATCTTGTTACCCTTCCTTTTTCATGGCTTCCGTGAATGTCTACTGATTACTTTTGCATTCTCTACATTTCCAAAGGAAAACAGAAGATAAAGTTTTTGGCTTTTTTTAAGCAAAAAAAAAAAAAAAAGACCAGTTTAAACTGAGCAGCAGGTAACAGTGTCAAGTCATATCATGCATAGGTGCAGACATAGTTTTGAGTGAAGTATGCTGGATCTTACTTCCAGATGAAGAATGACAACAGTAGCATCACCGATGGAGAAAATCAATGATGTTAAAAGCCTCAGCATCTTAAAACGTCCAAAATAGCCTGCACTGCAATCTGGCTAAGAAGGAGTAGCCTATTAAAGCAGCACTAATAATAATAGTGAACTGTATAACAATACCATCCCTCCTTGCATACTAATTCCTGATAGCCCCTATGGTACCTTAGCTGTGTCCACCTTTGCTGGCCATGTAATAAGCCCTGTTATATGTTCAGTAGTGCCTTAATGCACTTGCTGGGTCTCAGACATCTTCCTCAACTGCACCCTCTTCCACAGCCCCCAGGTTACAAAAAGATGCTTGCAACAGAAGGAGGGAATGACTTTCTCAGGATGCAGTGCTCCTACAGGGAAAATAGAGATCTGTCCCCAGTGAGCTCATGCTGCTCCCCCCACTTTGAATATCACTTTAAAAAAGAAAAATATACTTAATAGTTCAAAAAAACAGAGAGAAAGAAAGATTTATTTCAAAACAGGGTGAAAAAAGGATTAAAATTATATCTGTTAAGAGTAACAGTAGCCATTAAAGCTCCTAACAAGCCTTTATAAGAAATATCCCTAAAGATAACATTTTCATAATTATCTCAATAGTGGGGTTTTATTTTTTAAAAAATTGGGGTTTTTTTTTCCAATTTTTGAATCTGACTTAGCACTGGTGGTGGAGGAATCCAGGTTTATTCCTCAGTGAACCTCAGAGAAATGCACCCAACTCTCCACAACTGATAAAATGTGCACAGGGCAATCCTTTGTCCACTGAGGTACAGACATAGCAATGAATTACTCCACCTCACACATGTAATGAAACACATCACTTTCAGAGGTACTGCCAATTTCTGTGAACGGGCTAGGGCTCCAAAGTAGCCATTTTTTAGAAGGAATGAGTTTTGTACAATTTTTCTAATGGAGAAGATATGTTCTTCATCACGGAGGGGGGCTAACAGAGAGCATCTGTTACGGTTCTGGGGGTGGCCGTGACCACAAACTGCAGCACTGACATTTGAAGTGCTGCTGAGTAACTGTAAGAATGCTGCAGTTATAGGCATTCTGCAGTAGTCCAGTCTTAGGTGTCACAGAAACTTCAATTTCTGTCTTTCATTATGTAACATACTGGAGATTTTTTGTTTGCTTTTATATTTCCTTGCTTGGGCTTTTCTTCCCTGATGGGCAATGGAGTCCCCACACCAGAAATAAAACATTTTCAGCCTTTTAGGTATATTACATTTTCTACCTTGCAATATCCAGTGAACATTTTTATCCCATGAACATTTTAAGAACTTACACCAGGTAGATCAATAAACAAACCTGCAACTGCTGCATTGAAATATTCTTATTTATTCTATCCTGATGAATTATTCAGTCCTTTTCTCCACAGTCCCACAGCAAACCATGACTTCTTTCTGCATGCATTACAATTGTTCATCATTTATATTTCCATTAGTATGACATTTTAAATATTTGCAATTTGCTTTCCCTGCTTTTCATAAAAAGATGAAATAGGAACATTTAAATGGTCTGATCTTTTTGTACAGTATCTTGCCTCCTTAAAAACGGAAAAGTGTCTTTGCTTTTATAGCTAAAATTCTGAATTTATTGTATCACTTTATTAATTAAGATGGTGCACGTGAATGAAACTTAGTGTGGCCATTTTTTGCTCTACTCCACCTACTCTTGGCAATGTAAAAGTACATGATTATATTTTAAAGAAAATGGAACTACCCACAGTAGGTCAGTTATTCCTTTTGTACAGTTTCTGATCTATAAAAATCCAGAGAGAAGAAATGGCATAGGTTATCTTCTGAGTCTATCACAAGAGGTGCTTTATGATGGAAGTTCACAAAAGAATATGATTTCCAATCAAAGAATTTTACAAAGAAAGGACTTGACTTTGTTTATAAAAACGCTCATACGGCTCATTCACTAATCTGGGTTTTTAATTTCAGGTATTTTGCTTAGAGTAAGACATCTTTATTTTTATCCAAAGTAAGAAGAGTTTATCATATTACTAAATTTTTCCACAAAAAGATTTCTAATCTTCTAGAAGATGAATGATGAAATCTACTTGATGAAGGATGAGAGAAATTAGACCTCACATGTAAGACAGTTCTACATCCACTCGTGCCCCTCATCATCCAAGCCTCCCCCATAAGCCTCCTCTACATCAGCCCTCAGTCCACCCAGT